ATGCAGATCTCCTCTAGAGCAATGATGTTTTGGGGCTGTCGCTGGGCAACACGGACTTTCAACTACCTCCAAAGATTTTCTATGGGATTGAGATCTGGAGACTGGCTAGGCCACTCCAGGACCTTGAAATGCTTCTTACGAAGCCACTCCTTCGTTGCCAGGGCGGTGTGTTTGGGATCATTGTCATTGTCATGCTGAAAGACCCAGCCACGTTTCATCTTCAATGCCCTTGCTGATGGAAGGAGGTTTTCACTCAAAATCTCACAATACCTGGCCCCATGAATTCTTTCCTTTACACGGATCAGTCGTCCTGGTCCCTTTGCAGAAAAACAGCCCCAAAGCATGATGTTTCCACCCCCATGCTTCACAGTAGGTATGGTGTTCTTTGGATGCAACTCAGCATTCTTTGTCCTCCAAACACGACGAGTTGAGTTTTTACCAAAAAGTTCTATTTTGGTTTAATCTGACCATATTACATTCTCCCAATCCTCTTCTGGATCATCCAAATGCACTCTAGCAAACTTCAGACGGGCCTGGACATGTACTTGCTTAAGCAGGGGGACACGTCTGGCACTGCAGGATTTGAGTCCCTGGCGGCGTAGTGTGTTACTGATGGTAGGCTTTGTTACTTTGGTCCCAGCTCTCTGCAGGTCATTCACTAGGTCCCCCCGTGTGGTTCTGGGATTTTTGCTCACCGTTCTTGTGATCATTTTGACCCCACGGGGTGAGATCTTGCGTGGAGCCCCAGATCGAGGGAGATTATCAGTGGTCTTGTATGTCTTCCATTTCCTAATAATTGCTCCCACAGTTGATTTCTTCAAACCAAGCTGCTTACCTATTGCAGATTCAGTCTTCCCAGCCTGGTGCAGGTCTACAATTTTGTTTCTGGTGTCCTTTGACAGCTCTTTGGTCTTGGCCATAGTGGAGTTTGGAATGTGACTGTTTGAGGTTGTGGACAGGTGTCTTTTATACTGATAACAAGTTCAAACAGGTGCCATTAATACAGGTAACGAGTGGAGGACAGAGGAGCCTCTTAAATAAGAAGTTACAGGTCTGTGAGAGCCAGAAATCTTGCTTGTTTGTAGGTGACCAAATACTTATTTTCCACCATAATTTGCAAATAAATTCATTAAAAATCCTACAATGTGATTTTCTGGAGAAAAAAAATCTCCATTTGTCTGTCATAGTTGACGTGTACCTATGATGAAAATTACAGGCCTCTCTCATCTTTTTAAGTGGGAGAACTTGCACAATTGGTGGCTGACTAAATACTTTTTTTCCCCACTGTAGTACCCGCAAAACACCAGTCTCAACGTCAACAGTGAAGAGGTGACTCCGGGATGCTGACCTAGGCAGAGTTGCAAAGAAAAAGTCCAGTGTCTGTGTTCTTTTGCCCATCTTAATCTTTTATTTTTATTGGCCAGTCTGAGATATGGCTTTTTCTTTGCAACTCTGCCTAGGTCATCATCCCGGAGTCGCCTCTTCACTGTTGACGTTGAGACTGGTGTTTTGCATTGGAACTCAAATTTGGACTCCAGACCAAAGGACACATTTCCACCGGTCTAATGTCCATTGCTCGTCTTGGCCCAAGCAAGTCTCTTCTTATTATTTTCTTTGCAGCAATTCGACCATGAAGGCCTGATTCACACAGTCTCCTCTGAACAGTTGCTGTTGAGATGTGTCTGTTACTTGAACTCTGTGAAGCATTTATTTGGGCTGCAATTTCTTAGGCTGGTAACTCTAAAGAACTTATCCTCTGCAGCAGAGGTAACTCTGGGTCTTCCATTCCTGTGGTGTCCTCATGAGAGCCAGTTTAATCATAGTGCTTGATGGTTTTTGCGACTGCACTTGAACAAACATTCAAAGTTCTTGAAGTTTACCGTATTGACTGACCTTCATGTCTTAAAGTAATGATGGATGTTGTTTCTCTTTGCTTATTTGAGCTGTTCTTGCCATAATATGGACTTGATCTTTTACCAAATAGGGCTATCTTCTATTTACCCCCCCTACCTTGTCACAACACAACTGATTGGCTCAAACGCATTAAGAAGGAAAGAAATTCCATAAATTAACTTTTAACAAGGCACACCTGTTAATTGTAATGCATTCCAGGTGACTACCTCATGAAGCTGGTTGAGAGAATGCCAAGAGTGTGCAAAGCCGTCATCAAGGCAAAGGGTGGCTATTTGAAGAATCTCAAATATAAAATATATGTTGATTTGTTTAACAAGTTTTTGGTTACTACATGATTCCATGTGTGTTATTTCATAGTTTTGATGTCTTCACTATTTTTCTACAATGTAGAAAATAGTAAAAATAGTGTTTTCTTTTTCATAAATATTTTAATTCCACTTTGACATTAGAGTATTTTGTTTAGATCGTTGTCAAAAAATGACAAAATCAATTTTAATCCCACCTTGTAACACAACAAAATGTGGAAAAAGTCTAGGGGTGTGAATACTTTCTGAAGGCACTGTACATGCAATGTTCACATGCATGTTTCCATGCGTGTGCTTGTGTCTGTGTCTCCATGCCTGTGTGTGTCTGGGAGAGAGTATAGACCACAAAGTCTCCCTGCACACCGGAAATGGCTTGGTAATTAGGGTTAGGGTACAATTATCCTCTCCAGAGATAAGGACACGCCTTGTAGTAGGATCTTCAAGAGAGTGAGGGAGGTCTCTGTGGTCATGGATGGGTGTCTTTCTCTACTGCCTTTTATTCTATATTGTGGGAGACGTAGCTCAGTTCTTTCTCATTCTCTGCTTCCACGGTAGCTAAGTGTAAGACTTGAGTTGCTTGGTTTCTGTGTGTATGCGCATGTGTGCGTGAGTGAGTGGGAGAATCACCTTGGTTTATTTGGTGGTTCCACCGGAGGCGGATAGGATTTGGTCTTTACAGTCTTCCCAGGACAGCTGTGTATGTGTTTACATGGAATTATCCAAACCCACTCACATCCTCTCCCACCGTCCTCATCTGTCCTCACGTCTGTCCTCACTACCTATCTTCACTCCGACGAAAGACTGACGGACTCACTCTTATCATTCTCTCATCCTCCTCGCCATCCCTTTCTCCCTTTCTCTGGCCCTAATATCCCTCAACCCTGGAGAAAGAAAAACAAAAATACCACAGAAAATACTCATTCATGGCACTTCTGACTCTCTTCTGACTCCCTGCCTTAAGAAGAAATGGCGGTCGGTTTGGTTTGGTCAGTTAGTATTCGTGCCGTTCAAAGTGGCCGCAAGTCCCAGAGTGCTTTTAAGTCCAACATACACAAACACAAGCTGGCCTTCACTACTATATTTGAATCTGTTGTGTCATTTCTTCCCTCAAATGCCTTGCAAGCACACCACACACACAGAGTATTGCAGTCAAACTGGAATGAGGTAAAGACAACTCGCAATCTGTTTAACAGGAAATGAAAACGTATAAAATACCTTAAACAACATTTCACGGGGTACACTTTTTGACAGTACACCTAAAGCTACAGCAGTCTACATTTATGTTTTTAGTACTGGGTTTAAAGATACGGTAGGATTGCTAATCTATGTGTTATTCTGTCAGGTTTTGGCAGGTCATTGACTCCTTGTGGTTCCCCAGGATTCCAAACCACAGCTAAAACACACAGCTGTGATGTCAGAGGTTCGCCCGATGTTTGAATGTTAGTGTTGGGATAGCGGGTCCAGTAAACCAAGTTTAGATATCTTTTTTTTTCTTCTTAAACTCATAAAATACATACAGTGTGTGTATTTTTCACCACACTGAAAGGGATTCCATTATATTTTTCCCATGAAAGGAAGTGGTCATGAGAAGATGAAAAGATTAAAGGGAGGGAGGGAGATTTTAAAAAGCCCAAAGGGTGGAATAAGGAAGAGAGTTGGGAGAGGATGTGGGGAGAGGGAGGAGGCTGTATGGGACACTCCCTCTTGGTGATGGACAACTCAACCAGTGTTGAAGCACCCTTACATGAGGTACACTCTCTGAGGGCACATTACAGTACGCTGACAAACATACGGCCATTGTTCTCCACTTGAAACAGGTGGTTTAGGGGATTTGGGGGGAATACAAAAGGATAATACAAAAGCAAGGAATAAAAGACTCATCCCAAGAAAATTACTCAACGCGCCAAGGATTTTAAGTAGAAGCTACACAAAGGTTGAGGAAGACATCTGGAAACATCTGGAGTTAGACACAAGTGGGCCAAACAAAGAATGTTTGATGGATAACAAGTACCCCAGAATTGTGGATTAAAGAATTACAGATTGAGAGAGGTGGACTACAGATAATTTTTCCACTGAGGATTTGACTCCTTGTTCCTTGCGTGGGATCAGGTTGTTGCTTGCCAGCCAACTTTGAGGCACGGCAGGTGTGGTGTTTTTTCCTCATCCTTCTGAAGACAGATTAGACTGAAAACCGGTCTGATTATTTGATTCTCTTCTCAGATTTCAGTGACGACCAATCTTGGCAGCACCTGCCGTCAAGCTCCTTCAAATGTACTTCTTCAAAGGGAGCGATTTCGAAGACCGACATTGTTTGTTTTCATCAAAACATACAAAAAGTTGTAATTATACCCTTGCTTTCATTTTTGTTTTCTGTGTGTATCGCATGAGTAGAGTCGTGTTATGGTAGAAGAGAAAAGGCAAGTAGTGGTTGGAAGATTCAAGTACTAGAAAGGACAGAGGAAGGGAGAAGAGGAGAGATAAATAGAGGGAGTTAAAGGAGTAAACATCTCTGTGTCTACCGTTGATCTAAACACATCTCATCACAAATCACAGAGGTGCATTTGTTAGTGACTGATCTGTGATACTTGTAAGACAGTTTGGCGTACACAGACAGACGGGACAAGCAAATTGGTGTGTGTACGTGCACTTTGGGTGTGCGTTACAGAATACGATCTGCTCTCTTGTGGACTGAAGGCCAAAAGAACATAGAAAGACCAACCAAAGACTTGTAAGTTAGAAATAGAGAGAATAGAAAAGCACCCGGGTAGAGCTTCTTCCACTATGTCAGCGGACACCTTGGAAGATCTCTCTCAAACTACAGAGAACTTGGACAGACCGGACGGCTCCAGAACGTACATGTACACCCACGCCTGCCCGTACACAGGAACAAGACTCCTCCGTGACAACAACAACAGCAAGTACACCTGCAGATACACTCTCCAACTCCCTCTCTTCCCTATGGCTCTCCTCCTTGTCCCCTTGTTGCTCTGTCTCTGGGGCCACCAGGCCCAAGGAGTCGTCCACTCCAGCTTCCGCCGCCTCAGCAGCCGAGAGAAGAAAGAGATGCAGAGGGAGATCCTGTCCATCCTGGGTCTACCGGGTCGGCCCAGACCCCATCCTCCCCTCCGACCGCCCTCCTCAGCCCCCCTCTTCATGCTGGACCTGTACCACGCTGTGTCGGCCGAGGGGGGTGAGGGAAACGGACTAGGGAATGAGGTAGGGGGGCTGGGGTTCGGCGGTCTGGACGGGTTGACGAGCCACGTCAGCCATGCCGCCCTGCCCACTTTCAGCACGCACACGCCGCCGCTGGGGACGGTTGTCAGCGAGGCCGATACGGTCATGAGCTTCGTTAACCTGGGTGAGCTACTGACCGTTGATACACCTGTGGTTTTAAAATCCTGTGTTTTAGTTGGCTATTGCTTTGTGACTCGTTATCCAATTAGTTGGGAGTTTGTTCAGCCAATGGTCTCCCAACAGTGATTTCGAAATAGAGGCCCCAGGGTCTTGCAAAGAGCCCAGTAACTGAAAAAAGGTAATATAGCTAGATTCTTCAATGTAGCTAGGCCAACCTGGCAACCTTATATAGTGTTGAACCAGTTCACCTCTCAGGGACAGTCTTGTTATCACATGAGCGACTTTTCCTGTGCTGCACCAGCCCAGACAGTAGACCTACTGATGCTTATCTGACATGGCATAAAAATTAAACATCCTTTTCCCAGTCGTTTCCTTCCACTATCTCTCCTGGAATGAGATCGGAGACCTTGTTACCGTGGGAAAACATGATTCCATGTTATTTCTCTTCACTACTTTTATAGACATTTTGCATTGTTTCAACACTTGATATGCTAGTTTCTCTTTGTATTTCTACAGTGTCTGGACATACATATTAATGTATATTACTGTACCATATATTACTGTTTTTGTTATTTTTGTGTAATTACATACCTTTCAGTTAATGTTTCACTAGATCTTATTTTGACAATGTCTGGTGTGATGCCTTGAACCACCATTTTAAGGCCATCTAACTAATCTAGACAGTTTATCATTTATAGCCCCTGTCAGTTGTAATAAAAAAGACACCCATCACACACACACACAGTACACAAACACACCCTATCAATCCGACCCAGTCAAGGCCATGCAACCCACTCAAGACCGTGCGTAGGGGACACAGCTGTAAGGAATTACAGGCCCCACTGACACACACAGAAATTGAGAAACGGGCTCAGAATACTGCAGAGGACCGCTCTAAAAATACTGCCCAACCTGTAGTTAGTGGTGTGTGTGTTGAGCAGCTGCTGTGGTTGAAGGCCCTTAGTGTCTCTAATTACTGTACACTACAGAGCCCGACCAGGGTTGTTACTCTACAGGGCTCCCTGTGGGGGGAGGGGGGGGGGGGGGGGAGAGGGGAGAGAGAGGGAGAGAGGGAGAGAGGGAGAGATGGCGAGGGGAAGGAGAGTGAGGGAGAGATTGAGGGAGACGATGAGGGTCGAGCGGTCTTAAGAGGATCTAGACTTCTTTCGCTTTCGGTTGTCTTTCGTTTCTGTGTTGTTTAGCGAGGATGCCTTAATAGCGTTCTTCAGTGTGTGTCCATGTACACATGAACGTTGTCTCGCTTGAGACGCTGTGGTGAGTGACCAGCGTGTGCGTGTCCTTCCCTATCTTTCTCTGTCTTTCCCTATTGCCTCTCTCTCTCTCTCTCCCCTCTCTACATTATCGCTAGCCTGTCCTCCTTCACTTGGGCTCGCCTGCTCACCTTGCTCCACGTCTGCTCCGCTCATCTCTTTCCCCCTACTTCCATTGACTCAGTCACTCACCTTCCAATCCTCCCATCTCCCTTCACACCTTCCCACTTCTGTTGCTCTTTTCTCTCCCTCGGTCTTCTCATTCACCACTTTCATATTAGATTTATTGCTCCATGTATTGCTCTTTCGCCCCACCTCTTCTCCTCTTCTCCCTTCTTCTTGTGTCATGTGGGAATGTCTGTATCATACAATGAGAATATCTCTGTGTTTGTATTAGTCTTTTTAGGGCTTGTTGAGGGGAGTGGAAGTAATGTGTAGTGTAGATGTGAATATGAAGTGTTGTGCTGTTTAAATGTGAAAATGTCAGTGGCATTACATCGACCTCCCTCTCTCCTCCTCTCTCTCAGTGGAGCAGGAGCGGGACCTGCTGCAGCCACGGCCGTACTGGAAGGAGTTCCGTTTTGACCTGACGCCCCTCCCCAAGGGGGAGACGGTCACGGCTGCAGAGTTCCGCATTTATAAGACCCTGACCATGGGCCAGAGGGCCAACCGCACCCTGCACATCTCCGTCTACGAGATCCAACGGGAGAACAAACACAGGTTCCTGCCACTAGATCGACATAATATGACTATTCATTCTCTCATTATTATTTAACACACTCTCTCTGACATGTTTATGTGATCGACTTTGTTTTTTGCATGAAAAAAGGATCAAGGGTATCAAATAATGCCTTTATTATAATTCCCCTCACTCTCTTTGCATGCTCTCTCTGTCTTCTCTCTATACACCATGATTTGTTGCTGTGGCAAAATGCAATGTTGAAAAAAATGTGTCATTCAACCTGGCCTCATCCAACTCCTGGCAATAGAACTCATTGGCCACGTTGTGGCTTGCGAGGACGTCTTGTACAAACTTGGTTCTCCAGAGAGAGCTGAAGCTCAGTGTCTGTCTGGCTGTCTCTACTGCATGGCCATACAACATGTTTTGCGTATCTCTCCAGAGGTTGTCTCATGCCACTCCTCTACTTTCCTCAGAGAGCCAGAGCTGGTGCTGCTGGACATGCAGTCAGTGCCCGCGGGGCAGGAGGGCTGGCTGGCTTTTGACGTGACCACTGCCAGCAACCGTTGGCTCCTGCACCCCCGCAGCAACCTGGGCATCCGGCTCTATGTGGAGACAGAGGAGGGTGAGCCTCATAGAGTTAATACTATGGTCAGGGTCAGGAAATGCTCTGCAGATGGGGAGGGTATTTCCCACAAAGTGGATTTCTTGATTATTATACCATTGAATAAAGAGGCAAGTTAACTCAGAATACTACACCAATACCTGTGCAGTAGCAATGTAATGTCACGTAGTATTTGTAATTGTTTAGTAAATACATAGAAATTGAGATATGCTGTTTTGGTGTACCTCAAGATTGTATCACTCTCTCACACACACACACACACACACACAAACACACACACACATTGTTTTCTCTCTATCAGACCGGTCCTTGTCAGCTGGGTGGGTAGGCTTGGTGGGTCGAAGGGGCCCACGCTCCAAACAGCCCTTCATGGTGACCTTCTTCAGGGCCAGCCAGGCCCCCTGTCGCCCCCCACGTGCCCTGAAACCCAACCCCCGCAAGAAGAAGCCCAAATATGACCTGCCCCTGCCCAGTATACATGGTGAGGTCATACAAGGTCAGGGGACAACACTGGTTTTTGGTCTTGTTGTTAAGCTTGTTTTATGCAGAGTTTAAAGGGATAGTTCATCCAAATTACAAAATTACTTAACTTGCGTTTACATTCAATTGTGTCTTTATTTTAAATCCAATGCATCCAAAGCATGCTTTACAGTCTGTCCTGTCTCATAACATCTTTTTTGATCCCTTTCAGATCACAGCCACGTCAACAGTGGGCGTCAGGCTTGTAAGAGACATGAATTATATGTGAGCTTTAGTGACCTAGGCTGGAAGGTGAGCTTCTGTCTCCCTTAACTACTCAATTTACTGAATAGATAATATCATGATCTAACATTGTATCACCTTATTTGCTGTAACACACAATTAGTATTTTAAGGGAAACAAGGCATTTGTGTAGTATTTGCTTTGTAGTGTATGTTCTTTGCATGTTTTATGATGTATTTCTCATAGAAATAGAGTCTCTTCTAGTCATTAATCTAATCTTGTCATTCTATTTCTATGGTATTTCTCTCCATAAGGACTGGGTCCTGGCTCCTACGGGTTACTCTGCCTTCTACTGTGATGGAGAATGCCTATACCCTCTGGGTTCCTGCATGAACGCCACCAACCACGCTATGATCCAACTAGTGGTCAGTATGCTCTACTACACCCTCTCTCACATGAACGCTAACATTGGTTTCAGTGGGAATTAAGGTAAATGGCTCAGACTTTAATGGGAAATATGGCAAATTGAAACTAAAATACCCAGGTTACCTGAGTCTACAATTGCAGACTCTTAATGTAGAGTACAGATAGTGAGAAGTTACATTCAAGACTGAAGCAATTGTGCCCTCTAGCGGTCAACTTTATACTATACCGGCTCTTTCCATGACATTTGGTATTCTTTTTGGGGGGGGTATTTTATTAGGATCCCCATTAGCTGTTGCAAAAGCAGCGGCTACTCTTCCTGGGGTCCACATGAAACATGACATAATACAGAACATTAATAAACAAGAACAGTTCAAGGATAGAACTGCATCTTTTTTTCTTTAAAGGCACACGTAGCCTACATATCAATACATACACACAAACTATCTAGGTCAAATAAGGGAGAGGTGTTGTGCCATGAGGTCTTGCTTTATCTGTTTTTTTAAACCAGGTTTGCTGTTTATTTGAGCAATATGAGATGGAACAGAGTTCTATGTAATAAGGGCTCTATATAATACTGTATGCTTTCTTGAATTTGTTCTGGATTTGGGGACTGTGAAAAGACCCCTGGTGGCATGTCTGGTGGGGTAAGTGTGTGTGTGTGTCAGAGCTTTGTGTAAGTTGACTATGCAAACAATTTGGGATTTTTAACACGTTAATGTTTCTTATAAAAAGAAGAGAGACTGGCATGCATAGTATTTATATCAGCCCTCTGATTACAATGAAGAGCATTGTTCTGGGCCAGCTGCAGCTTAACTAGGTCTTTCCTTGCAGCACTCGACCACACGACTGGGTAATAATCAAGATAAGACTAAACTAGAGCCTGCATCTCTTTATTACGGACAGACCTTTCCCCATCTTTACAACCATTGAATCTATATGTTTTGACCATGACAGTTTACAATCTAAGGCAACGTCAAGTAATTTAGTCTCCTCAACTTGTTCAACAGCCACACCATTCATTAACAGATTCAGCTGAGGTCTAGAACTTAGGGAATGATTTGTACCAAACACAATGCTCTTACCAGTTTGTTCAGGACCAGTTCAGGACCAGTTTATTACTGGCCACAAAACAGACTGCAACTCTTTGTTAAGGGTTTCATTGACTTCATTAGCTGTGGTTGCTGATGCGTATATGGTTGAATCATCAGCATAAATGGACACACATGCTTTGTTTAATGCCAGTGGCAGGTCATTGGTAAAAATAGAAAAGAGTAGAGGACCTAGAGAGCTGCCCTGCGGTACACCACACTGTGTTTGACATTAGAGAAGCTTCAATGAAAGAAAACCCTATGAGTTTATTAGATAGATAGCTTTGAATCCACGATATGGCAGAGGTTGAAAAGTCATAACACATATGTTTTTTTCAACAACAGGTTGTGGTCAATAATATCAAAGGCTGCACTGTAATCTAACAGTACAGCTTCCAACTAATCATCAGTCATTTGTGTCAGTGCAGTACATGTTGAGTGCCCTTCTCTATAACCATGCTGAAAGTCTGCTGTTAGTTTGTTTACAGAGAAATAGCATTGTATTTGGTCAAAGACAATTTTTTCCAACAGTTTGCTAAAAGCTGGCAGCAAGCTTATAGGTCTGCTGTTAGAACCAGTAAAGGTTGCTTTACCACTCTTGGGTAGCGGAATTAGTTTGGCTTCCCTCCAGGCCTGAGGACAAAGACTTTCCTCTAGGCTCAGATTTAAGATACGACAGAAAGGAGTGGCTATAGAGTCAGCTACCATCCTCAGTAGCTTTCCATCTAAGTTGTCAATGACAGGAGGTTTGTCATTATTGATCGATAACAAAAAAAATCCACCTCTCCCCCACTAACTTTACAAAATTCTAACTTGCAATGCTTTTCTTTCATTATTTGTTTTTTTTATGCATGAATACGATGGCTCACTGTTCGTTGCTGGCATTTCCTGCCTAAGTTTGCCCACTTTGCCAATGAAGTAATCATTAAAATAATTGGCAACATCAAATGGTTTTGTGATGAATAAGCCATCTGATTCGATGAAAGATGGAGTTGAATTTGTCTTTCTGCCCGTAATTTCATGCAAAGTACTCCAAGATTTTTTTCCCATCATTCTTTATATAATTGATCTTGGCTTCATAATACAGTTTCTTCTTCTTTTTGTTGAGTTTAGTTACATAATTTCTCAATTTGAGGTATGTCAGACAGTCAGATGTGCAGCCAGACTTATTAGCCACTCCTTTTGCCCCATCTCTTTCAACCATACAGTTGACATAGATTGACCAGGTAAATCTAGGTGAAAGCTATGATCCCTTATTGATGTCACTTGTTAAATCCACTTCAATCAGTGTAGATGAAGGGGAGGAGACAGGTTAAAGAATGATTTTTAAGCATTGAGAATTTGAGACATGGATTGTGTATGTGTGCCATTCAGAGGGTGAATGGGCAAGACAAAATATTTAAGTGCCTTTGAACGGGGTATGGTAGCAGGTGTATCAAGAATGGTTCACCACCAATCCCTGTGGAACGCTTTCGACACCTTGTAGAGTCCATGCCCCGACAAATTGAGGCTGTTCTGAGCAACAGGGGGTGCAACTCAATATTAGCAAGGTGTTCTTAATGTTTTGTACACTCAGTGTATGTAGGCCTCCATGTTTTTAAATAGTACAGTATCACACATCACAGTACAATGCCATAAAGCGTGGGCCTGTAGTACATGTAAATCAACTTAAAGTTGGTTTTTATTTCCATATGCAAAGAATAAAGCATAATTGTTCATGTAATAATATAATTACATAATATAATAACAACTCCAGGAATAGGAAATAGTGATGAAATAATCAAATAAATGAAAAGACAGAGACAAATGCTTTTGAACTACCATTTATTTTATTTGAAAATGTAAAATTCAGAGCAAAGTAATGTAGTGCACTAGTGTCTAGAGCACTGTTAGGTGGCAAAGTGTGACAAGAATCCTGTGGGGAGAGAAAACAAGAGAATACATGAATTTAATAGGTGTTTACTAATTAGGGTTCAACGAAGCACTTCAAGTCCTCAATTCCAGAGAGAGAGAGAGAGAGAGAGAGAGAGAGAGAGAGAGAGAGAGAGAGAGAGAGAGAGGAGAGAGAGAGAGAGAGAGGAGAGAGAGAGAGAGAGAGAGAGAGAGAGAGAGAGAGAGAGAGAGAGAGAGAAGTGTGGCCCTTCAGGTCTCTGCAGTAGGACTACATGCTGGCCATGAGGTACTCGAGGTGGTACTCGAGGAGGCTGGAGAGCTCAGTGACCAGAGACTCTCGGTTAAAATACCAGGCCAGCTGCTGCCCAAACATGTCATCTAGCAGAGCCATCAGCCCGCCCTGAAGGGAACACCACACAACACATAGAAAATGGCTCTGAGCTACTAGCTTATCAAGAGGAGAGAGACAATGAGAGTTACTCCCCCTAAAACGGCATTGAAACCCTGTTAACCAGGAACGAGTAAAGAGGAAGTAAACTAGTAATAAGGAAGAAAACAGGAAGTAAACTCTTGACTCTTACATTGAGCAGCAACAGGTATCTCTCAGCCTTTGGCTCAATGCTGGCAACAGTGAGCAGGAAGGAGTACAGGAGAGGGTACAGACGCTCCATGAACCCACCAGGTTGCTAAAGTAAACAGAGGAGGAGAGAAGAGAAATTGAAGTGAAATTGCTAATAGACAGACATCCAGGGGCGGCCTGTTCAATAGGGCGATATGGGCGACGCACTGCGAAACGGGAAAAGGAAGGGATTTTTTTTCTAATCAATTATATCACGGCAACAGTAGTTATCAGTGTTGTAATCTATACGTCTGATCTGCCACAGTGCCACACTGCCACTAAATGTCGAATCAGGCTAAAGTCGTGCTTCAAATGGCTCCCCCCCCTTTTGGGGCGATTTCAGTCAGGTTGAAAATCGCCCAGAAGTCTGTCATAGACTCCCATGTAAAATCTATTTTTTTCAAATTTCAGAGCCTTCAATACAATCTCTATGGGTGTCTGAGGGCTTGCACTTACGCGCTTTCGTCATACGTAACGTAACGTAACCATGAACGTAACTGAGAAAAGAGCGGATTGTGTCTTTGAAAGAAGTTCCTTTTTGTCGGCGAACAAATGAAGATAAATTGGCAACGAAACAATTAGGACCTCCCAGACCAAATTTAATAATTCAACAGGTTTCTACTAAAGGCGGAAAGTCCTACACCCGAGGATTTTCCAAAAATTGGTACGAACGGAAAAATAACATTGCCACTCAACTTGATGAGGGATACAGGCTAGCTGTCCGCCGCCACAACGATGAGGTTAGTGTTGATAATCACAAGTTTACTGGAGAACTGAGACCAAGTAGAGACTTTGGACAGGGTGGATATGGTATAATAAAGGCAGTTTATTCAGAGGTAAAGATATCTGGAATCGCGTGCACGGACCCGTTCGTCAAACTCTTAGGGAGCTATACATTAAGCCCCATTACTTACCATATCAGATAAGAGAAATTGCTGCAGCTACATATATTTTACATCCTGGCCCTACATAGTTCACTATTTGCATCACTTACCAAAATATTACATGTGGTCATATATGCTTGGAAAGTGGAGATGCCATAGAACGTCAAAAAAGTAAACATTGCTGGAGACACATTGCCGTTTTGGAGAAGACATCGCGTTTGCTAGCGAAGAGATTTGTTGTGGCAAATGAACTTGGGCTGGGAATTGCCAGGAACCTCACGATAAGATATATGCATCAGCATTGCGAGTCTCATGATTCTATACGTATTGCGATTCGATACTGTGATTTTATTGCGCACCATATGTCTGTTGCAGAGGGATCAGAAAGCCATGAGAACGAGTTTTGATCAGTCATGGAAATAAAAGTGCTGAAAACAAATTGGCTCCCAATGTGAATAGATTGAGAACAAGCTATGAAGGAACAATAATGGTGTTTTGGTGCAGGTACAGCCAACTAGCGCTAAAATATTGCGATATTGTCAATACAGTATATCGTAAAGTATCACTATGTAACTCGATTTCTTTCACCCCAATCCCTCAAATTAACGGTAAATAACTGAATTGTTTGCCCCACATTTAGCTAAGATGATTAGCTAGCCAGCTAAAATGTTTTATTTAGTTAGCAGTCGCATCTACAATAGTTTACTGTCAATAACATGTCTCCAAAAATGACGTGGTGTCTCCAATTGTGTTGACATTTTACAATTGCGATGCGCATCCATGAGTATCCACTTTCTGTAGCTCAGCTGGTAGAGCATGGCGCTTGTAACGCCAAGGTAGTGGGTTCGATCCCCGGGACCACCCATACACCTGCTGACAAGGCTGACAAGATAGGACCCTTTTGTCCATTGTTATTGGATAGGAACAGAACTTATAACCAGCTCCTGACCTAAATAGATCTTAGCACAACATTTTACTCAACATATCATATTCCATATTCACTATAACAAATATATTTACTACGACATTAGCAAGAACCGCCACATCCTCAGCCGGCTAATCCAGTGTGTGAAGTTTTGCGGAGTGTTTGAGTTAGCTTTGCGAGGCAAAGATGAAACTGAGGGCTCCACCAACCCTGGTAAGCCAACACTTTTGAGATCAGTCAATAAATGCTTCTGGTATTGACTTATATGCTGCCCCTGTCTTCATGTTGTTGCTGGACATATCTTTTTTAAAATGTGTGTAGGTCACCTAAATCATCAGAAAAATTGCCCCCCCTGAGAATTTTTTCAGGAGCCGCCACTGCAGACATCTAAACATTTACCAGCGAGATGCTACTTACCACCATCAGGGATTTCTGAGCTGTCATCATCCGAAACAGCACCAGCTCAAAAAGGACATCTATCAGGTTAACATGATGGATCTAGGACAAGAAAACACGTTTGGAGAAAATAGGAATGATTTCAAATAGATCAGCTACTGTGCCGTATAAAAGACATGCATGTGGAAGAACTCAAAGTGAGACTTGAAAGAGTTAATTAACTCACCTTTGCCTCAGCCAGCTCCCTCTCAATGTCAATCTGCTTGGAGGGGTCACTCAGGTAGTCCACAAAGTCGTTATAGGCACGGATGAATTCGGCCTCGTCCTATCATAAAGCAAAGAGCAGTGATGTTAGTGCACAGAACACATTTCACACCGAGGACGTTCTCTTTCCCTTGAAGGACAATGAGTTAGTGAGCTACCATCTGGTGGACCTGAACCAGTGCGCCCAGTAGGACCTTTCCCGCCACAAACAGATGGTTCCTACTCAGGGTGGAACCGAGCAGGGTCTAGAGAAGAGGGAAGAGTTAGGGTGAGACACCCATCTTACTCTAGGAGACAGACAGAACAGGAAGACACAGAGAGTCAAAGAAAAGTGGGTCCACTCACAGTAAAGGCCTGGCGCAGGGAGACGAGCCTCAGGCCGATGTCCTCCACTCTCTTGGTGGTAAGGTAGAGGCTGTGGAAGAGAGGGAATGGAGCATGTCAATGGGGGATAACAGCATTGTGACCACTATCCTTCAGCATCTGACAAGCTCAGACTATACACACATTTAGAGGGACTCACTTTAGCAGAGGAACCTCCCTCTCCTCAGGCAGCAGGTCCTCCTCCCAGCCCTACAATAACAGAACAATTATTCAACATCAGTGACCAATGTAATGACATGACAAACAATGGGTCAATCGAAGGATCTTAATGCTACTAGTCAATAGTATGTGTGTGTGTAACATCTGACCTCATAGCAGTTGTGGCCCTCAGGCTCTGGCTCAGTGAACTGCTGAGTGGTGGGCGTAGAGACGGAGGCAGCCTCCGACCACGCCGAGGAGGAGAGCAGCCCATCCAGCCCCATGTGGAGAGTGGCGTACACCACCGAGACATCAGTTTGCTGCTCAAAACACACACACACACAACACACGTTAATAGAAAACAGACCATATCTAATGGAAAATGCCCTGTAATTTCTATTCTATATACATAGGAAATTGTTTATTTACCTGGTAGCAGCCATGCGTCACGGCCACAGACGTCTCGTGGCGGAGGTGAGACGCATACTGGGTCACCCTGCCAGCCACATACTGACAGAGAGAAACGACATGTTAAGGCCAAACGGAATAAGTGAAGAAAAGCCTAATCTAATACTAATTCAGTAGTATTTACATCTTACCTGGATCCAAGAGATGGACTGCACCTTGGTGGCACAGTAGGGGATGCCCTCTGGACTAAGTCTGTGTGTCTCCTTGGAGATGGCCCACACCAGTTGAGTCTCCAGGCCTCGAACCCTACTCGCATGGTGCATCCTCACCACCACCTGCTGTGGAGTGAAACAACAAGACAACATCAACAAAACAACATCAGCCATCGCTGTAACATATTTCCATCAAGATCACATGACACTGACGATGTAGATTAGGATTAGGTAGTGACAAAGACACATACCTGGGATCCCCCACGCATGTAGGTGATAATGGGGCTGATGAACTGGAAAGTTCTCCAAGCTTTAGCCACCGGACCGGCATTGTTCTGCACAAGAGGGGGTTGACATTACAATACATTCAGGTTAGAAACAGCAAACATTGCAACAGTGATGTGACTGTGTGTGTGGGTCTCTTACCCTGATCACAACAGGCCCACAGTACAGGGAGCTAAACCTAATCGGTATCAACTGCCAATTACCAGTGGCCTCCTAAAGCAGAAAGCAGACAACAAAGATTTTTAGAATGTCAAAGTGACACAAATTGAATATCTGGGATACTTTTCAAACATTAAACTTTCTGAAAATTGTACCTCAAGGATAGTCGGCACATCTGGCACCTCCTCAAGGATGGCTGGCAGCAGTGGTACATCCGGCACATCATCCAATGGCACAACCAACTGGACCTCATCCAGGACAGTTGATTCTAAAATTAGGAACATTGGAATACAAACAAACAAATGTTAGGATGTAAAACGTAGCGAGCTAGCTAGTACTACTAGTTCAAAAGTGCATCTCTTAGCAAAAGTCACTAAAGTCAACGTTAGCTTGCAAGTATGGATTACAGAAATACACAACATTTCACAAATTACATTTATATTGTTAAATGTGGTAAAATAAGAAGTTTAAACTCAACATACCCTCGATGTCGCTGTCCACCTCCCGACGATTGCGAACCCTGCAAAACGGAAAAAGACAACAAAAACAACCCACAAATGAATTTGAACAACCTGTCGACGCAGTAGACCGCCGACGTCCACGCACTCTCTCCACCAATTTTGAAAAGCACCCAGGCATTTTCCAGTCGATCTTTCAGTCTCAGGTCTCAAAAATCTGTCATGTTTGTTGTTGTTGAACAGCAAACTGAATTGTTGTTGTTTTCTAACAGAAAACGTTCAATAGAACGCCGAGATGTTCTATCGGTTAGATGTCTCTTGGCAACACATATTTTTGAAAATTGTTGTTTACAAAATTGACAGCTGTGTTGCCATAGAAATGAGTTTGGAACTCTATGCTTACCATTAGAATTCTATAAAAATTCCATTCCTACTCATCATTCTAATTCTATTGACCCTATTTTGTCACCAGAGGATTTCCTATGTTGTTGGTATAATATAAAACAAAAATACCAAATGTTATTTTTAAGTCACTAGCTAGGTCAATGGCCCATTGAAATGTTTTAGCATGTTTCATGGAAGTTGTTGTTGAACTTCTGAAAGTCTAGGCTTTGACTCAGTGGATAATAAAGTATTGTGGAGCACAGACAACCCGGTTTAAAATATATTGACCAAATTCAGACAAGGGGGGCAAAGCCACAGCCCACTGAGGTAGGAGAGCACTGAAGTATCTGCATAATAATAATCCATATCTCTTTTATAAACAGGATAGTATCATTGATTATATAAAAGTGCATGTATAAATAAGTCTGATTGACCTTTTTTCATGGCAGGTTCACCTTCTGAAGCCGGACGAGGTTCCCAAAGCGTGCTGCGCACCCACCAAGCTCAGTCCCATCTCCGTACTCTTCTACGACGACAACAACAATGTGATCCTAAATAAGCATCGCAACATGGTGGTCAAGACCTGTGGATGCCTGTGACACCTGTGGTAGCCCATATATTCTACATCATTTTTATAAACTTGACTACCATTGTTCCAAAAGATACAAACGGGGTAATATACCTTGCAGCCAGCAGTTGATAGCAATAATCTGGCAATATGTGTATAAATAGTATGTATCTACACTGAACAAAAATATAAACGCAACAATTTCAAAGATTTACTGTGTTACAGTTCATATAAGGAAATCAGTCAATTAAAATATATTCTTTAGGCCCTAATCTATGGATTTAACATGACTGGGAATGCAGATGTGCATCTGTTGGTCACAGATACCTTTTTAAATAAAGATAGGTGCGTGGATCAGAAAACCAGTCAGTATCTGGTGTGACCACCATTTGCCTCATGCAGCGGGACACATCTCCTTAGCATAGAGTTGATCAAGCTGTTGATTGAGGCCTGTAGAATGTTGACCCACTCCTCTTCGATGGTTTTGCGAAGTTGCTGGATACTGGCAGGAACTGGAACACGCTGTCATGCACGTCGATCCAGAGCATTCCAAACATGCTCAATGGGTGAGATGTCTTGTGAATATGCAGGCCATGGAAGAATTGTGACATTTTCAGCTCCCAGGAATTGTGTACAGATCCTTGCGACATGGGACTGTGCATTATCATGCTGAAATATGAGGTGATGGCAGCTGTTGAATGGCACAACAATGGGCCTCAGGATCTCGTCACGGTATCTCTGTGCATTCAAATTGCCATCGATAAAATACAATTGTGTTTGTTGTCCGTAGCTTATGCCTGCCCATACCGTAATCCCACTGCCACCATGGGGCACTCTGTTCACAACATTGACATCAGCAAACCACTCGGCAACGCAACGCGAGATTCATCCGTGAAGAGCACACTTATTCAGCGTGCCAGGGGCCATCGAAGGTGAGCATTTGCCCACTGAAGTCAGTTACGATGCCGAACTGCAGTCAGGTCAAGACCTTGGTGAGTACAACGAGCACGCAGATGGGCTTCCCTGCGACTTTTTCTTACAGTGTGTGCAGATATTCTTCAGTTGTGCAATCCCACAGTTTCATCAGCTATCCAGGTGTCTGATCTCAGACGATCCCGCAGGTGAAGAAGCCGGATGTGGAGGGGCTGGCGTGGTTACACGTGGTCTGCGGTTGTGAGGCCAGTTGCACTTACGGCCAAATTCTCTAAAACGACATTGGAGGCGGCTTATGGTAGAGAAATGAACATTAAATTATCTTGCAACAGCTCTGGTGGCCATTCCTGCAGTCAGCATGCCAACTGCACGCTCCCTCAAAACTTGAGACATCTGTGACATTGTGTCGTGTGACAAAACTGCACATTTTAAAGTGGCCTGTTATTGTCCCCAGCACAAGGTGTGCTGTTTAATCAGCTTCTTGATATGCCACACCTGTCAGGTGGATGGATTATCTTGGCAAAGGAGAAATACTCACTAACAGGGATGTAAACAAATTGGTGCACCAATTCTGAGAGAAATAAGCTTTTTGTGCGAACTGAACATTTCTGGGATCTTTTATTTCAGCTCATGAAACATGGGACCAACACTTTACATGTTGCATTTATATTTTTGTTCAGTATAATATATTGATTATTTAGTGTGAGAAGGGTATATGAATAACACCTCCTTCATAAAGAAATCCTCAATTGAGATTTTCACATTGGACTTATAACCATACTTCACTCCTGATTAAACTATTCAAATCTACAGTAATTCAGATAATTACATCACCCTTTGTCATATATTCTATGTATCCAATCAAAGCTGTAAAGTACTGTGACATAAGTGCAATGCTAAATTTCTACCCTTTTGATGGCTATGTTGTCTTGTTGAACCATGAATTTCTCATTGTCTCTATTAGATGTACTATACATGGTTCAATTAAAAAGCTAAATATATGGACTATATATGCGTGGCAAAAAAATGTGTGCATTTCTTTAATTATACTTTTAACCAGCATACAGTGGGGAAATAAAGTATTTAGTCAGCCACCAATTGTGCAAGTTCTCCCACTTAAAAAGATGAGAGAGGCCTGTAATTTTCATCATAGGTACACGTCAACTATGACAGACAAATTGAGAATTTCTTTCTCCAGAAAATCACATTGTAGGATTTTTAATGAATTTATTTGCAAATTATGGTGGAAAATAAGTATTTGGTCACCTACAAACAAGCAAGATTTCTGGCTCTCACAGACCTGTAACTTCTTCTTTAAGAGGCTCCTCTGTCCTCCACTCGTTACCTGTATTAATGGCACCTTTTTGAACTTGTTATCAGTATAAAAGACACCTGTCCACAACCTCAAACAGTCACACTCCAAACTCCACTATGGCCAAGACCAAAGAGCTGTCAAAGGACACCAGAAACAAAATTGTAGACCTGCACCAGGCTGGGAAGACTGAATCTGCAATAGGTAAGCAGCTTGGTTTGAAGAAATCAACTGTGGAACAATTATTAGGAAATGGAAGACATACAAGACCACTGATAATCTCCCTCGATCTGGGGCTCCACGCAAGATCTCACCCCGTGGGGTCAAAATGATCACAAGAATGGTGAGCAAAAATCCCAGAACCACACGGGGGGACCTAGTGAATGACCTGCAGAGAGCTGGGACCAAAGTAACAAAGCCTACCATCAGTAACACACTACGCCGCCAGGGACTCAAATCCTGCAGTGCCAGACGTGTCCCCCTGCTTAAGCCAGTACATGTCCAGGCCCCTCTGAAGTTTGCTAGAGTGCATTTGGATGATCCAGAAGAGGATTGGGAGAATGTCATATGGTCAGATGAAACCAAAATATAACTTTTTGGTAAAAACTCAACTCGTCGTGTTTGGAGGACAAAGAATGCTGAGTTGCATCCAAAGAACACCATACCTACTGTGAAGCATGGGGGTGGAAACATCATGCTTTGGGGCTGTTTTTCTGCAAAGGGACCAGGACGACTGATCCGTGTAAAGGAAATAATTAAAGGGGCCAGGTATTGTGAGATTTTGAGTGAAAACCTCCTTCCATCAGCAAGGGCATTGAAGATGAAACGTGGCTGGGTCTTTCAGCATGACAATGACAATGATCCCAAACACACCGCCCTGGCAACGAAGGAGTGGCTTCGTAAGAAGCATTTCAAGGTCCTGGAGTGGCCTAGCCAGTCTCCAGATCTCAACCCCATAGAAAATCTTTGGAGGGAGTTGAAAGTCCGTGTTGCCCAGCGACAGCCCCAAAACGTCACTGCTCTAGAGGAGATCTGCATGGAGGAATGGGGCCAAAATACCAGCAACAGTGTGTGAAAACCTTGTGAAGACTTACAGAAAACGTTTGACCTGTGTCATTGCCAACAAAGGGTATATAACAAAGTATTGAGAAACGTTTGTTATTGACCAAATACTTATTTTCCACCATAATTTGCAAATAAATTCATTAAAAATCCTACAATGTGATTTTCTGGATTTCTTTTCCTCATTTTGTCTGTCATAGTTGACGTGTACCTATGATGAAAATTACAGGCCTCTCTCATCTTTTTAAGTGGGAGAACTTGCACAATTGGTGGCTGACTAAATACTTTTTTTCCCCACTGTACGTTAGTAGCAATGGAAAATACCAAATTATCTTTTTTTTGCCGTTTTTCTATATACAGAGGATCCAATACACAGGAATGTGTCATTGTCAACAGATTTCTGGAGGATTGTGTACTGCTATATTTGTAATAAAATAAACTAGAATATTTCTTGTAGAGGTTGATTTGATGCAGATGTGAGAGTAAATGCCAGTGAACACAGACCTCCAGAAACTGATCGACACTCCTATCCTAGTGTCACACCCTGGCTCTGGGACTCTATATGTTGAGCCAGGGTGTGTTCATTCTATGTGTTTATTTCTTTGTTGGTAGTTCTGTTGTGTTTATTTCTAGGTTGGCCAGTGTGACTCCCAATCAGAGGCAACGAGTGTCAGCTGTCGTTGGTTGTCTCTGATTGGGAGCCATATTTAAACTGTCTGTTTTGCCCTTTGTGTTTGTGGGTTCTTGTTCCGTGTTCGGTCATTGATACCGTGGACGTCACGAGTCGTTTCTTGTTTTGTATTGAGTTTAAACTTTAACTAATTAAAGTATGTTTGTTCATCACGCTGCGCATTGGTCTCTCCCTGACGATCGTGACAGAAGAACCCACCATAAAAGGACCAAGCAGCGTGTCCAGGAGAAGGCAGACTGGACATGGGAGGAAGCGCCGGGAAAGGAGATGGAGAGGTTGGCGATGGCCCAGGTGGGCAAAGTGTGGTCCTGGGAGGACATGCTCGGGGGAAAAGGGCCATGGGCTAGGATTAAGGCCCTGGCGAGAGAGGAGCAGCGGCGTCAGCAGTGTCAACGTCGGACAGGCGAGAGGCAACCCCAGAAAATTTTTAGGGGGGGGCACACGGCATGGGCGGCTGGGCAGCAGGAGGCTGCCACAGGGCGATTTGGAGAGGAGGCCACCGGGTTAGGGGGGCCAGAAGGCAGGTTGGCGGAGCCAGAATGGAGAGCGGAACCAACTTCCCGTACTCAGGCATGGCAGCATGGGACGGGGCAGGTTCCGCGGTATGCGGAGCGGCGTACTGTGCCACGAGTGGTCCGGCATAGTCCTGTACGTCCTGTGCGAGCACCCCGCACGTGTCGTGCGAAGGTGGGTATGCAGCCAGGACGGAGTGTGCCGGCTCAACGCTCGTGGTCTCCAATGCCTCTCCGCGGTCCCGGATATCCTGCTCCAGTGTCACGTGCTGTTATGTCAGTACGGGTACACAGCCCTGTACGTCCTGTGCGGATGCCTCACACAGAGTGTGTGAAGGTAGTCATTCAGCCAGGACGGGTTGTGGCCGTTCTTCACTCCAGGTCTCCTATCCGTCTCCACAGCCCGGTTCGGCCTGTCCCTGCTCCACGCACCAAGCCTACGGTGTGCGTCGCCAGCCCGGTCCGGCCTGTCCCTGCTCTACGCACCAAGCCTACGGTGTGCGTCGCCAGCCCAGTCCGGCCTGTCCCTGCTCCACGCACCAAGCCTACGGTGTGCGTCGCCAGCCCAGTCCGGCCTGTCCCTGCTCCACGCACCAAGCCTACGGTGTGCGTCGCCAGCCCAGTCCGGCCTGTCCCTGCTCCACGCACCAAGCCTACGGTGTGCGTCGCCAGCCCAGCCCGGCCTGTCCCGGCTCCACGCACCAAGCCTACGGTGTGCGTCGTCAGCCTGGTAAGGCCCGTTCCTCCTCCACGCACCAAGCCAGGGGTGCGAGTCGTCAGCCTGGTAAGGCCCGTTCCTCCTCCACGCACCAAGCCAGGGGTGCGCGTCGTCAGTCCAGCACAACCCGTGCCTGGGTCACCGGTGCCTGGTAAGGTACCGGTCAACTGCTCCACGACGGAGCTGAAGCTAACCGCTCCTGCTAAGTCCAGTTCAGCTCCAGCCAGCGGGGCCAGACTGGACCAGGGGCGCTATGGGGGGTTTATTGGAGGGTGGTGGGCAAGGCCGGAGCCAGAACCGCCGCCGAGGAGGTATGCCCACCCAGCCCTCCCCTGTTTGGTTCAAGTTGAGGCGCGGTCGCAGTCCGCGCCTTTAGGGGGGGGGTACTGTCACACCCTGGCTCTGGGACTCTATATGTTGAGCCAGGGTGTGTTCATTCTATGTGTTAGATTTCTATGTTGGTAGTTCTAGTTGTGTTTATTTCTATGTTGACTAGAGTGACTCCCAATCAGAGGCAACGAGTGTCAGCTGTCGTTGGTTGTCTCTGATTGGGAGCCATATTTAAACTGTCTGTTTTCCCTTTGTGTTTATGGGTTCTTGTTCCGTGTTGGTCATTGTTACCGTGGACTTCACGAGTCGTTTCTTGTTTTGGACAGTGTCACCACCTCTTCAGCTACATAGCATTGCAGTATATTGGAAATACCTTTGAAAATACTTATAAGTATACATTTGTCTGGTATCAGTATAGACGGAAGGGTGTTTAACTTGCATTCGGAAGTAACGATTTTCTGCTAGCATTAGAAGGCATACATATTCTCTCACACACACAAAACGTAGTCACTGCTTTCCTTCAGAATGGATCAAACAGGCAGAGGAATGCTTTCATATATATTGCTACATTTATTGTAAATGGTCAAATGCAAAAAACAATTGTTACAACATGGACCCGGAGACTATCAAAAGTGATTTTGGTATTGTTTCGACCAGGGCCTTTTACAGGCAGAACAAGGCTCAGTCTTGGGCAACTAACAAATCCTTTCCACTATGACACCATTGTCAAAGAAAGCAGAAATGATTTGCACAAGAGTGTATGGGAGGAGGTATAGAAAAGAGTTGGGGGCAAAAGTAGGACAGCGGTACACAGATGAGATAAAAGTAACACCATGAAACTTTTAGACGTGTAACAGTCTAGATGGTATTGAATCAGGAATGAATGAAGGAAGCGGCATAGGGAAAAGGGATGTAGGTAGAGTGGGCTCATAGAAGTAAGATGGGTGCTTCAATAGTCTGAAGTTGAGGGGTGGTTGGACATATAAGATAGGGTGCTGGTGTGCTTCTGCTCCCCCCCCCCCCCCCCCCCCCTTTTAGGTAATTGTAACACAAATATTCCCCCACCCATGTCCAGGGGTCTCAGTGTTTTGTCCCTTGACGCCATTCAGTCCCAGTTGCAGCGCTCAAATCGTGGTCATCGTGTGTCTGTGAATCACAACATGAAAGGCGATGAGTGACAACATTTCCACATATTGAGCCATATGAAATACAGTTGAAGCATAGGGCAAGAATTTGCTGCTAACATGTATACTGTGAGTCTGAATGATGAGAGCATCTTATCCCAGCTGTAGGTCCATTGTGTGTGTGTGTGGTCTTTTAAGCCTCAACAGCAACCAGCTCTGGAGGTATTGGAGACTTGGGATGCTTGCTGTCAAAGTGCTGCTTGAATGTCTTTGGGTCCGGTATCTGTGTCTGTAAGGGTCAGGTAAGGAATGAAGGATA